TGTAATCTTCCATAATCCTCTTCATATTACTGCCATTCCCAGTGCAAGAGATGATGGTAGCTGATACATTAGGAAGTATGAGATAACTTAACTGATGTCTAATTAGGTGTAGATGTCACTGCCACAAATACAAAACAGTGGGACTATGCGGTACCCAATCTGTATTCACTTAGTTTAATCACTTCAGTCTCCACAATTTAAGTTTCATTCCTATCAGTATTCTCTTCTCTCTTTACCGTTTCTTGTTAAGTGGCCATCTGCCTCGTCATGCTGCAGCCTCTGACCTCATCCGTCCTCTGTGCTCTCCCTGCACTCAGACCATCATTAAGACAATGCTCTGGGCTGGCTTGTCACAACTGGACGGGCTTGTCAATCAGCAGCTCAGACAGCTGGGTTCATCGCAGCCCTCGCCTCGCTCCTGTCTGCATCTCCTTCCTTCCACAAAGACATGGATCGACCCTGATAACAGGTCGACACCCGCTTCCCTCTCTGCTGCATGCTACTTCAGTCATTCCTCGAGGCCTCTAGGCCATGGTGGTGACACAGGTCTACTATTCTCTGCTTAAGCAGGTAATTCTTATTCCTCTTCTTTTGCACTTCATTATTTTTTCATGTGAACTCCACACAGCAAATATAACCCTCCCTCCCGCACTCTTAAGGCTGCATTTAAGGTTGACGGCCTTAATTGGCAGTGAGAGGCAGCCAGTTGAAAACTTCGATACCCACACATCAGTCAGGGTCTAGAAATTCCATCTTTTGTGTCAGACCATGAGCCACAAAGTGAGTTTTGAAAGCCAGACTTTACAGCACCTTGAAAAGCAAAAGCTGAGTCATTGTTATTGATCACCCACCTCATCAGAAGTAGAAATCCATGCCGGCTGACAATGTCATTTTCTGTGCCACTGTCATAAAAAAAAGATGCATGTCGCTGGCAATTTTAACTAGAAACTGTGTATGTGCATAAATGTAGAGCTTGGGTGTAAAAGTTAGATAAGCACAACATAAGAAAATGACACACACTCACCATTATTGATTAATGGAATGAAGGTTTGGCACATTGCAGTTAAGCACTAAAGCTAAGAACTAGACTAAAATATCTGTCTTTTGAAAAATGAATTATTTATGTGATGTTATGTGGCTTGTACAAATATTTTGAAGCTGACATACTTTATCGCTAGAGAGAGAAGAGCATTTTGATAATAGGTGAGAAAGTGGACAATGTTTACCAGGATACTGGTCTTGAATTGCTGACTACAAAATGATAAAAAGCTCTGCATTCAACACTGTAGATTGTTCTTGTAAAATGAAGTCATGTTTGCATTCAGTGTTTCTTAACAAAAAAACTGTATATTCTTCACGCCTAATAAACCTCATAATCCTCATAAAACATGTACAAAGCCATTTTTTTATTATTTTTTTTATTATATAGTATTTTAAAACCTGCGTTGTTTACATCCATGTTTGCTAGCCAGCAGCATTCTTCTCTGCCTTTTGTTGACACATTGCTACGTTTTTTAGTGCCACTGAATGTCAATCACTGGAATTGCACGAAAAAGTGTTGGAAGAAAAATGTATTATGTGATTGCAAGTTTTACACATGTCTCCTTGTCCACTGTGGCACATTTTATCTCGCCTATGCATGACAGTGTCACGTTTTCAACATGCGCTCATTCCGTGATCACGTTAACAAGAATAAATATTCAACGTTTAGGAAAAGATTGTAGTCAACATTGACTTTTGGTTTCACAAAGGGATTAAACAGCAGTCTCCTGGGTGAAAAGTTCTGTGTATCCACCTATTATTACCTAACTATTACACACTTTGGTGCTACTAGTGGTCAAAAACTCCACAGGGTGCCTTTGAGCTGAATTATTGTCTCTAAAGCTGTGTCTCGTTTCCATACTACATACTCATTCTGAGCACTGGACAAATGTTTAATCAGTGACATTCTAATAAAGACAGAGCAGACAATTCACATGCAAAACATGAGTGAGCCAGTTATTCGGAGAAGAGAAAAAAAGCCCTTTACAGGATAAACTGGTAGCATTTCTTTTCTGTCTTCTACTATGTGGTGTTCAATTATTTCAATTGGCTTTTGTTTATGTAAATCTAATGGAAGATGTCTTACTTTCATCCCATGCAGGATGGAACCAACTATTGTAACTAAACTGTACTGTTGTCATTTTGAGCCAGTTATAAATTTTCCCTTTAAATACCAATGAAGTTAACAATAATAACACACAGTCAAAAGGAAAAACTTAATATAGCCTAAATTAAACACAATAAATCCTCTTTTGGTGTTTGTTTGTGCCAGGTCAGATGGTGGTGTTGACTGGG